TCCTCACTAGAATGGCTAAGTCAGCCTAATCCATCAAACACTCACTCAAGAGAAGGGAAGAGAGCACTCAAGAGTGGAAGTGTAAGCTCTTATTGCTTTATTACTTAGCAATTCTTGCTTGATACAAATGGAATGCCTTAGCCCCTTATTTATAGGCAAGGCTAGCTTACAATGGATGACTATGATTAGCCTTCTAGATTGTTCTTATAACCAATTGTTAGGATTGAGTCTCTAGATACTTCTTCTAAAATATCTCCCTAGATATTTACATGAGACTTTCTTAGAAGCTTCTAGATACAAGATATTTATCATACATTTATTATGCAAGAAAACTCTAGAAAACCCTAGGATCTTCATGGATCCAACCATGAATAAGTGAGTCCAAATGCACCCAATTGAGCCAAAATAGGGTGGTTCGTGACATCTACATGTGGTCAATATGAATGTTAGTACAGGTTGTTTTATTATTCTTTTTTCTTTAAGGGCTAATACTTCTATTCTTATTCAGTCAAATGATGGAACTATTGAAGATTCAAGGGACTAATATTTACAAAACCCTTCATTTTTTATGAATTCCCCTTCACATACTTAATTTGATGCCTCTTATTTTGAGAGAGAGAGAAGAGAGAGAGAGAGAGAGAGAGAGGTTCTCTTGAATTCTAGAAATGATTTGTGTTGTATGTGCAGATATATATTGAATGGAAAAAGATGTTACTTGTATTCTATAAAAGAGTAAATAACAGAATCCAACCCCCCACCCCCACCCCAAGCTGTGGATGATCAGCAAAAACCTCCCTTAACTTCTAAAACATCAAAAATAAAAAACCCTTAAATGTAAAGATTATCATACGAGACCCTTTAACTTTTAGATTTTATCAAAAAGACTCCCCTTTAACTTGAGATTTTATCAAAAAGAACTCCGCTATAATTTAGGGTTTTTTTTAATAAAATCCCACAGTTAAATGAGGTTTTTTTATAAGCCCCAAACAAGAGTTCTAATATTTTGAAAGTTAAGGGGGGCTTTCTGATAATTGTCCAAAGTTAAATAGGGTTTTATGATATTTAGCCATTATAAAACGCTGATATTTGCATGATACTTTTTTTTGAGATGTTTTCGCACCACTAATTTATGTTTCCTACATGTGTCATGTCTAGATGGAATAATTATTTTCTATCACAGTTCACTGTAAAACTGTATATGTTATGCTGAAATCAATCTATTCGGTATCGCGAAGCTTTACTTATTTTGAGCTTTAATGCTCCTAAGTTTAGTCTATTTAATTTAGAAAAATGATTTAAGGACCCAAAATATGGGACCAAAGGAGGGGACAGGTGAGATGTCCCCTTCCTATTGCATAATGAGTTGGCATGGCCAACTCATTATGGCTCTAACTATTCACACTCCCAAACAGTAACTTTGGGGGTGTGTGAGGACTAAATTGCCCTTCTCCCAAACCAAAACAGGCTAAGTCCATTCCAGAAACACTCTCAACATCAAAAGGGCATTTTCGGCAATCCAACTCTCAAAATTACTGTTTGGGAGTGGATATAGCAAACATGACTCATTATGCAATAGGAAGGGGAGACCTCACATGTCCCCTCATTTGGTCCCATATTTTGGGTCCCCGTAGCAGCAGTCTTTAATTTAATACCTGATATTTTTTTATAAGGAAAAAAGAGTTGAATTTTTGTACCCTCCAATTAGAACTATTCATTTTTCTGTTAAGTACATATCATGTGCTTAACACACGACTTAACTTGGAATTTTATTCCCCTTTAGTCATTCTTTATAGACTTTAAAATTGGGTGAGAAATGTAGTTACAAGTTTCGATATAGATTTAATAGAAAAATATGCTACCTGTGGCTGAAGGGCATAAAAGTTTAATTTTCTTAAATGTCAGGAGATCGAATGGGTAAAAAATAAACGTTGAGATATCAAAGTTCAAAGTTACGTACCACATCATTCCTCCAACTCTTTCGTATTACGAATTCGTCCCCCAGATCGTCATATTTTGAAATTAATTTCGAAAACTAAAATTTCAAAATAAAAATAAAAATTCAGCGCTTTGAAATTAGTCCCTCAAGTTTCGACTTCTCCTCCTCCTCACCAATCGTATCAAGCTCCGTTTGAAGGTATTTCTCCTGTCGACGCTTGTAATTCCTTTTAGGGCCTGTTCGTTTGTTTTCTAAAAACCAAGAAATAGAAATGGAAATTGTGAAAATCTCAAAACTCATCATTTCCTCCATTTCCATCTCTAAAACTCACCCACAACATCCAATAAAATATTATTTTCCATCCAACAACTCATCCACATCATCTAATAAAATATGATTTTCATCTAACCACTCATCCATCATATCTAATAAAATATTATTTTCATCTAACAACTCATCCATCACATCTAATAAAATATTATTTTCATCCAAACATCACTCAACTCATCTCTTCTCATCATTTCAAATCACTCACATCATCCAATAAAATATTATAACAATTCACATCATCTCATTAACATTTCATTTCTTTATTTTCATCCCAAAAAGTTATGAAAACACTTTTCTTAATCTTTCTTCACATCACCCAATAATACAATGACAACTCATCTCATCTCATTTCATTTCTTATTTTTAAGAATGAACCGAACAAAAGAAAACAAGAAACTACAGGAAATAGGTTTCTTATAATTCATTTCCTTATTTTTTTTCGCCAACCGAACACTCCAAAACTAGTTTTCTTAAAAAATCACAAACATCATCCAATAATAAGGTGACAACTAACATCATTTTAATTTCATTTCTTTGATTTCCTTCTTTTTTAGCCAACCAAACACTCCAAAAACAAATCTTCATTTTAATAGTTTTCCATTTCTTTGATATCCCTTTTTTTTTAGGCAAACGAACAGGCCCTTAATCGCAAACGACTACCAAATTGAAAACCGCTCTGGTTTCTGATTAAAATAGCATATAAATAGAGGCTATTATTTCTAGGTTCAGTTGGTGAGAGAGAGAGAGAGAGAGAGAGTTCATAGCGCGACTTTGAAGACAAAGCCACTCGATCAATCAAATCAAAGTTTCAATTGCGTTGCTCGAGTACTGAGCAGCAACTTCATCCTACTTGTATGAAGAAGACTCTCATCTACAGGTACTCGGGGGGTTTTCTCCCTCACCAGCGTGCATATTACGTGTTTGATAGATTGCCAATGTGAGAGAGAAGCCTCCGAATGGGATTTGGATTAGCGATTCCCTACATCCTTGTTCTGACTGATATCTAGCAATGCTCACCAAACTCACAATACTCAAATCACTCAGCCCATTTTCATTTCACAGTAGATTCATACCAAAATCATTCTCCAGTGGGGTGGCAGCTCAAGAGCTCGACGAAGAGCCTCTGCCGTCAGAATGGTACAGGATAGCCTACGGAAAGCTAATCAAACTGACCCATGTTCTGAAAAACATCGAACAAGTCAACGGAAGAACTACAAACACGATCGACGGCTCAACCATTACTGATGACTACATCATCGGCCAAATGCAATCATTCAATTCCCTCGCCAAATCATTCATTGGGTCACCCTCAATGCAATCGATTCACGGAGATTTTTTCGTCAAAGGAAGCGAAAGAAGCAGCCTTACGTTGAATTCCCTCACCAAAGTCTGCAATTTCCTCAGCATTTCAGC